TAGTCAGGCAAGGGCAGAAGAGGCCAATCCAGCAAACTGATTTCCCCTGCACTTTCTTGGTGGGTGAGCGATGAGATCTGCTTGCCCTGCAGATCCCTGCATATGTGTTACCAGAAGTCTGCCTTTGTGCTTAGGGTTGTCTTGAGAGACACTGAGCAATTTAAGATCTTGTAGTGTGTGAAACCGTATATACATCAGGGCCATCATATGTACATCAGTGTATATATACATCAGAGAAGCACTCAAATCATGTCATTTACGCAAGGAAACTCTTGCAAGAGAGGCAAACAGAGCTCTGTGAAGTCCATTTCACTGTTGCTGATGATTTCTGGAAGCATTTTGACTTACGATGATGTGTGGGTGTATGAAATTGTAAACATGCTTTATTTACATTTTCTATTATTATAGCATGACTTTTAATGACCAGCTATTCTAAGTTTGAAAATATTTAGACAGTCGAACCCACTATTCTGCGTGCTTGTATCTTTCCATGACTCCTTCTGTAAAAATTGATGTTTCCTTACGATGGTTTCCGCATGAAGCTGGTTAAAGCTGCTTTTTCTTCCTCTCATGTTACGTTAAAAAAATCAAAACTAGTTTCTCTGAAAATGTAAGTAGGACTTGCTTAAGAATGTTAAGCAGCTGTAGCTTGGAAGTAGCCTCTGAATACCACACCTTTCCTTGGGTGTTGCACCCTGTGTGCAGATCTCGCAAGCTCCGGTTCTTTCTAATGGGAGGTCTTTTGGTTTTTGCAGGGTGCCAGGGTATGGCTGTGGGAGCAGGACCAGCTGCAGCCATGCACGGTTGGCTCGTGTGCCGATGGAAACGTGCTCTTCACCTCAGATTATGGCTCGGTAAGTGAAGTTTGCATGAGGCTGTAGCCTATGCCACCTTGCACGATGGACTTCTTGGTCTTGTGTGACCTTCATGCTAAAAGGACGTGTATCAATTGAAATGCTGCAATTCTGCCTGAAAAGTGACTCGGCTCTGTTACAAGCCATGCCAAAGGCCTAACAAAGACTAAAAAGAGAAGATTGTTATCTTTCTTCTGTTCACTTGTCTGCCCACCTCACTTTGCTTTGTTTTTCTTGTGCCATCTTTGAAGGAGTTGCATTAACAGACTAGCAAAACCATTACATTGGCAAAATGCTCCTAGGAAGGAGGTGGCTCCACCAACTAAGCAGCCCTTTCTGCCAGGACGTGCTTCTTGCAAGCTGTGCTGCTGTAAGGGCTGTTGTCCACTGTCGGCTTCGGCAGCTTTTGCCATCAGCCCTTTGGGTCAGGGGCACATGGAAGTGAGCTCCCCACGTCAGTGCAGCCAGCAGCTGTGCACAGGACAGTTCAACAAGGCAGCTGAGTTCCTCTGAGAGCAGAGCTCTCTGCCGGCGATAGGGAACAAGCCTCTTTCCTGTCTTATTTCCAGCCCTGTGCTCCTTGTGGTTCCCTGGCGTGCCTGCTGCAGTGCTCGTGGAGTAATATTGGTAGGAAGGGACCTCTGGGGATCATCCAAGTCCTCAGTGAGTCAGCTCGGCTCCCTAACCCTGGGAGAACTATTCACTGCCTTCACTGAGGTTCTTAGAGAGTCAAACTGGTGCCTGGGCTGGGAGAAGGATGAAGAAATGGGCAGGACTGTGCCCTCCAGCAGTGCGCAATTAGATCTGCTCAGCTGTTTTGGTGAACTGTGCTCCCCAGGCAGCTTCTTTGTTACAGGAAATTGGACATTTTTTTTTTCAGCCTCTTACCTGGCAAACAAAGGAGGGCATGGGGTGGGGGGTGGGGGTGGAGAAAGGGGATTTAAGACTCCAGCTTGTGGAGAGTCAGTGGTAGGACTGTTGTATTTCTCAGTCTTGCTTTGACAGGGCTAGGTTTTAAATCATCATTCCTTTTTAAAGAGCCTGATTTGTTTCTCAGACAGAAACTCACCTAGCAGACACATAGATTTTCTATCTGATTAGTCTTTTAAATCCTTTCTTGAGGAGTTGCCTCGTTTTGGGAATGCTGTATAGTCACTAACTCATTTTAAGAGATCACAGGGGCGTTCATCACAGGTAATGCTGCAGCCTGTGGAGGGTGAACAAATGGCGAGTACTTCTGTGACTCTCCCAGACTTGCTTCTGTCTCTTCTGATATGCTGATGTGGCCTTGGAAAATCTTCCAAACCCACCTGGCACCTCTGAAAGGACGCCAGAAATCCCACCACAGAGCCAGCTGAGTGGGTGTACCCACTGCCAGCCTGTGACCGTGCTAGAAAATGTGCACAGGATAATGCTGGGTGGAGTCACAGGTATTAAAAAGGCTGGATTTGGGTTTTTTCCTCCATGAAAGAAGAATCCACTAGGCTGAAGGAGCATGTGCTTTATGGCTTATGCAGAAAAAGCACATGGTGATCATTCAAGGGCTTGCTTTATTCAGTGCCCTCCACAATAGCTGTCCTATGTGCTTCCCTCGCCTGCCACCTTCATTGCTTGATAGCTGTAGGAGGGACTGGCTGTCTTACGCCAGGCGAAAACTCACATGAAAACATCTTCGTTTTACTTTGGGCTGGATGGTTCAGTTGATCCCTCTGATATTAGGATTCCTAAATCTAGTATCCTCATGTTTGCTGTGGCCCAGCATCCCTGCAGCTCTTGCAGCTCTGAGGTAAGAAGTCCTGTCTTATGCTTCAGGGCTTTTGCCATTTGTTTTCACTTCCTTAAAAACACCTCAAGCGACAAATCCATCAGAAATGTGACTTCCTAGGAGGAAAGGAGGAGCCGACACTTATGAAACACAAGATTGGAAACCACAGTCCAGACAGACCAGACGAATGCTTTGTGGATAAACATAACTTAGATGCTGAGTGGGAGCTTTGCTCCTGTGCTCAGGGTTGCACTAATGGATGGATCTGAGGTTGAGGAGGAATAATTTCTCCCCTGCTCAGTTTGGCTTTGTTGGCAATCCTCATCTTGGCTTGTCTGCCAGCCATGTTTTGCTTTATCCCTGGCCATTGCAGGGGCTTGGAGAGAGTCCTGCTCATTTTGTTCTGACCATGGGCTAAATCTGAGACTATCAGCTAATCACTGGGGAGAAAGCAGAAATCATTGGCTGTGTTGTGAGGTACCTGCGTGGTATTTGATGGCTTGTTTGTAGTTAGACTGAAAGCTGATGGTTTTTCTTCCCAAGTAATAAAGAGCTGCTTATTAACACCTATAACTTTCTGTTTAAGTATTAACTTGTTGGAAAAGAGATATTCCAGAGGCAGCTCTGCTGAGAGATCAGTTTGTCTGTGTTCTCACTTGCTTCAGGCAAAATCAGCCATCATATTCAGCTCAATAGTGCTAGCTGCTGAAGCCAGCCTGGCTCACCTTACCTGGAGCAGGATGGTGGGGAGGATTTTCCTCCAAACTGCTCTGCTGGCAGATTGCTGGAGGTGTCCAGAAGTGAGCAGTGGGGTAACAAGAGCCTCTTTACTTGGGTGGCTGGAGGTGGGAAAGGGCCTGGCTGTCCTGGATCAGTGCAATACCTTGCAAGCTCGGAGGATGGAGGGTCATCATGTCTGGGTCATGTTTGTATCTCAAACCTCAGAGCTCCTCAGGGAAAGGCCCTTTGACACAATCTTGGGAACAAAAAAACCCACTGCCTGTCTAACTCCAGGACCCTGGATGATCCCTGCAGCCTGTTGGTGATACAGAGACTGGAAACTTGTCTCTACCCCGGAGGGCAGAGGACAGATTAAAAGACAACTCTCTTCCAGTGCTAGGGAAGGCCTGAAACCTCTTCCTCATGCTACAGGTACCTTCCAGGGGCACAGAGACCTCCCCTCTCAAATCTCAGTGGGGCTGGACGCCCCAGCCTCTGCCTGAGGAAGGGTGAGCTGCTAGGAGTGCAGTGATGGGCAAGGGTATTCGGTGAATCTCGCCAGCCTCAGGGACAGACAGTTGACATCTTGGCCTCAGGTGTCAACGTGGCATCAGTCCGCTCCTCCAGGGAGTATATTTCACCTATGCAGTGTTTCTGTCCAGAGGGTACCAGAGCCAATGCCCCTCTCATCCACCTTTGCTGCAGTCCCACCAGAGCACCTGCTTAACTCCTTGAGGATCTTGGACCAGATTTTTTTTTTTAGGGAGGGATGACTGAATAATCCTACTCAGGAGGCTCAAGACAGGTTTAACAAGTGATGAACTAGTCCCTACTAATCATTTACTCTTGTATTTAGGCCCCCTGTTGCTCTTCAGGGTCCTATCCTGTATCGTCTACAAGAGCAAGTAAACAAGCTCTTACCCATCACAGTTATTTTTCATGCATAGCAGCCTCTTGGCACAGGTGCTACCAACCACCTGGTATCTTTTGGGACACTTGTCCACTCAGCTTTTTTCCTAGGCATTTTCTTCATGTTTCTCTTTTGGCCCAAGTGGCCACAAGTGCTGACAATGCAGTGGTAAATGAGTAAGTGCCCGGCAGATGTAAGGAAAGATCACATCATACCATTTTGGACTTGTCCCCTTCCAAAATTTGTCCAGTCAGCAGAGAAAAGAGAGCCAGGGTGGTTTGCTGCCTCATGGTTTGAAAGTGCTGTAGTGGTTTTGCTCCTGACAGAGTCCAGCTCACGTTGTGTATTTGCAGCTTGTACTTTCCCCTGAATGTAGTTGTCCTGTTCTCCTTCTTGCTCCCTCAGTTCTTTTGTGGAAGTGCCTGAGGTCTCTGCTCTGAAGAAAAAAAAAAATTGATGTGGGTTTTTTTGGCCATGCTTACAGAGTGGGGGTCCTGCTGCTGGCAGTCATACCTCTCTGATACCCAGCTGTAGAAGTGGTGTGGAGATGACCAGGGATGCCTGGAGAGAGCCTGTGTGCTGGAGTGGACTATTCATGAATACGAACTATGTATTTTTGAAAGCCCCTTGGCTGGTGAGAAAATCGGGCTGTGGGGCAGTCTCCCAGTGGAAGAGACCAAGTCCTTGTCACATCAGGTGTGACTGGGCAGACCTGGGGCAAACACATCTGGGGAAGTGAGCCTGCTTCTCCTCCCCAGCTCCTTCCAGGAACAGAGCTGTTTCTTCAATGGTGCATGCTTTTGGAGGCATTGTGGGGGTCCTGTAAAGGGATCCTGCGCAAGGTTATTCCTTTCCCATACTGGCAAGGGTGCAGGCTCAGAGCTGAGAAGGGGTGCTTGCTGGGCACCTGCAATGCGCTGCAGCAGTGAACTCCCTGCAGGGGACTTGCAAGGGTGGCTTGCTGGAGGGGGCAGGGTGACCTCATTCTGTCTTCAGCCTGCAGCTGCGTGGCTGGCCTCTCCCTAGCAGTTAACAGCAGCCTCAGGACTCCAGGAAAGCAGGCAGAAGAAACCGGTTAGATCAACGCTATAGATCATGGGCTCATTCTCTGTGGGGTCAGTCAGTTTCTTGGTGGCACCTGGGAGGGCTCAGAAGCAGGAGTGGAAATGAGGTAGAGACCAGAGCCCCAGAAGGGAAGGAAAAGCCCGTTTCTTTGGAAGGGTTACTGCGGGCCAGTTTGCTTCTCCAGGCTGCCTGTATGAAGTCTCCCATCTGTCTGTCTTGGGTCTTACCATCTAGCACAGCTTGGGATGCTGGGTGGGAGATGGCACACGGTTGAATCCAAGAGTGGGAAGCAACTGAAATAACTTTTGTGAAATGCCAGCATCGTGCTTGAGGAGGAGGAAAGGAGGGCTGGGATGTGGCTATGGTGGAGGGGAACAGTCACATAATCTCAGCTGTGGTGAAAGGGGGTGAAGAAGATGACCCAATAGCTGACGTGTGGGTTATTGAGGAGGAGGAAGCTCTAACAGGAAGAAGGATGCAGCAATTGAGGCAAGAAGAGTGCAACTGCATAGAGAGAGAAGTGGGCACTTCCCAGAGCAGTGATAGAAGTTAATAGCTGTCACTGTACGAACGCTTTGAAAGCTGCATCATATACGTACATGCCAGCATGCACACAGGGTGCCACTACTTTGTTTGGCTTCTCATCTGCTATTCTTTCCTCTGCTCTTGACATGACAACCTCTCCCAGACACTCTCTGGCTGCTCCTGTGGAGAGTGCAGGGCCAAACCTGGAATGCGAATAAGCTTTGCCTCAACCTCCCCACAGTCAGAGATACGATCCCGCCTGTGTTTTTGTGAAAGACTGTTCCTGGTCTCTTGGGAGCAGCTACCACCATTATTGACAGTCATGAGTGCAGTGTGTAATACCTGTCTGGCCTGGTATACCTGGAAGCTGGTGCCCTGCTCCTGCTAAGGGCACTTCAGTAAAAATCAAGTAGCCTTGCATTGATCTGTCCCTGTCAGTAGTGAAGGTGAGAGAGTGACTCTGTAGCAAAGGAAGGGAGTGTGCTGTATGATTTCTGGCCAGAGAGCTCAAATAGGTAGGAACAGGAACAGAGGAACGGCTATAAAAACAGGGAGCAGATCTGTGCCTTATTCATTTCCTTTTCCAGTGCTGAAGTACAAAGCTGTGGAAAAGGGCATGTTTCTGGTAGGAAATCAGACCATGTGCCCAGGTGTCATGCGCTTATTTGTCCTTCTCCCCGTTCTTCCAGGTATTCCAGTACCCCAAGGCCTCCCTTTCCAGAGAAAAGGTCTTGCCAATGCACCAGACCAGCGTTGATGGGGTAGAAGACATGTCCATGCTGGGAGATCTGCATGAAGCTGCCATCCTGCTTAACCTGCACCAGCGCTACCAACAGGGTAACATCTACGTAAGTGCTCAAGCTGGGCCACATCCTTCTGGCTAATGACTTTTGTTTAGCTTTGGGGCTGCCACTTTGAATGTGAAACACTGATTTTTAGCATTGTTTCCTGAGCATTGTTTCATGTGGATAAAAAGGGAGGTTTTTTTCTGCCTTGCCATCTCTATCAGCCCTGTGAGATCCTACCCCTACTAGAGGGGAGACCTCTTTGCGTCTATAGAAGAACTTCCAAAACATGAGCATTCACCTCTAGGCTTTGTGGTAATTGTGCAGCTCTGTATCCTCCATGACCATCCGTGTTTTACAAGCCGGGACTCATGTTCCCCAGATTCCCCATTATTACTGTTCAGAGGTTTATATGGCCAAGCAGACTGGAAAGTGCAGTGTACATATGTTGTTGTTGAGTATCCCTCCTGATGCGGATAAAGCTACTGCTTGAAAAAACTAGGAAAGCAAACCTGTTGCCTAATTCTTCTGCTTTTACATGCAGTTGTGCCTTTTTTGAGTTGCTCTGCTCTCCTTGCACAGATGAATACTCAAAGCATCTCCTGATTTCCCTCTCGGGCCCTCAGGAAGGAGGCAGGCGTCGGGAAAGGAATTGTGAGGAAAAGCGCACCTGGGATGAGGCATCCCTGGAGCGCTGGGATGGCAGCGTGCTCTGCTGAGACTTGGAGAGGACTAGGAGGATATATTACAAAGACTGCCTTACCTTGCTTTACTCTTACCTTGCTTGTCCATGCTATGCGCACTCAGAGTTTTTCAGATTATGACAGGAAAAATGTAAATCTGTGTTGCATAGCAACTGTTACCAAGGCAACCAAACCATATGCACCTGTATTCCAGGAAATGATCAATAAAGTGACCCTGTTTCTGAACCATCTCCTGCACCGGGATGCAGAGGAGACTGCAAATTCTCTTTTTTTGTTGCTGTAGACCCCCTTGTCTGTCGTCTATCAACATAGCCTTGTGACCCTGTGGCAGTACCCATGTGCACACACTCTTTTGATGGCCCTTGTCCTTGCTGTTCTTCCTGACCTGTGTTTGACACATGCTATGTGTTTGTGCAGCTCTTTGCCCATTTGGGTATATTCCTCCCATTTCCTCTTCCGCACACTTCGAAATGTGAGGCAGGATTCTCTCCCTCTTCAGCCTGTGCCTTGCACCAGAAATGCCACACCGCCAGCACTGTGCCAGTGTCGCAGCAGCTCTATCTCCTTAAGCCTTTCCTCAAGCTCTGATATGCCATTCCTTCTCCTCTTCAGCATTAGTTCTGTGGCTTCTCCATCCGTGTGTAAAGGTGTTGAAAGTTTAAATATGATGTCATTTTTTGGCTGTGCATAGTGTATGAATGTCAGCTGTGCACCTTAGATCTGAATTTTTGGGAGATTTATGAAGGGGCCTGACTTCTGTAATGTGCTGAGCACTGGAAGAAACCCTCGGTGAAGGATTGTCAGCCCCTTCTTGAGTGGGACTGTATCTGGGTATATGTTTGTGCAATGTCTGACCTGGAGGACACCAAATCGGACAAGTGCTGTTTTGCATTTCTGCAGTGCAGACATTAATATTGCAGTTACCTTATCACTAACTATTAGTTTTTGCTATAGCCCTGCTGCGTATAGTTTTCAGTTAAGCAGAAATTGAGAATGTCAGCTGCAGTGCCACCTAATGACTTGCAGTGATCTGTGAATACCATGAATGTTACAGGGGTTGAGTTCATTTAATATCGTTCTCCATGGTCTCCACAGATAGAGCATAGTAGGCTAAGGTTGCAGGTGAAGCTGTACTGAGAGGAATTATGCCTATCAGTCAGGGCCAAAATTTTTTAGAAGGAAATCAGAGAGATCAGAAACAGGTGAGAAATATCATCATTTTCTGGAAAACAAATTCACCTGAAGGAATGAGTAACCTGGAATACTGGCAACTAGTACTAAATATAATAATAAACAAATAATAATAAAAATAAATAATGAGGGGATGGAAAACTGAGAACATGAAGTGGACAACTGCTGTGAAAAAGGGCAGTGCAGTTCTGAGCCGTGTGCCTAGAGGCATCCTAGCATGAGCTCCTAAAGAGGATCCTTTCTGGTCAGGGAGTGTAGGTAGCAGTACTGGTGTGGTACCCATGATTAACGTGCTACAGGAATACTGACAATCTCAACAGTACCTTTTGTTTTCCAAAGAAATAGTCTTCAAGCTCTACCAAACTGCTTAAGGAAATTATGTGAGCACAGCAACAGCCTGCAGCATTTAAGAGTGTATCTTCCCCCTTCATTCCTGCAATTCCTGTATCCCCTAATAAAAGTAGACCCAACATAATGCGAGTGATTTATAAATAAGCCGGGGGCTGTACTGCCACATTTTGTGCTGTCCCTAGCTCTGCCATGCCTAACCACCCAAGTAGGATCTATTGTCTTGAGAAGTAGATATACCACGTGTGGCCTGTCCTGCTCTGCAGAGTTCTCGGGACGATCACTCCTTGCTAATAGAGTGGCTGGTATGTACATGGTTGATGCACAAATACTACTGCTATTAAAAATTGTGGATAGAAATCGTCTATAAGGGACTGCAGGTGATGAGGAGACTGCAACTGGGAGATGGAAAAGTTTCCTAGAAACACCTTTGAAAGAGATGGCTGTACTGGAAGAAGTTCTGGAAAGGACTGCGGCGGGAGCTCTGTTCCTTAGGAGAGCTGAAACTAGAGTGGGAAATGCAAAATGAAACATCTGAGAGGAAAAAATGCTGTAAAGGTCTGGGAGAAGAGTTAGGATGGACATCTCTGTCTTACAGTCTCTGGACAATGTCTGTTGCTCTACTGGTTGTACAGTGTTTTTTCCCAAACCATGTTTTCTCTCTCAATGCTTTCCCATTTCCTCCCACCTGTCTTGCCAAAGATCATCTGCTTGCTTATTGCTTTCATCACCAATGAATTATATTTCTGCCCACAAAGGTCCATGTCAGAGGGTCCTCAGTACTTGTTCCATGCTAGCCTGTTCATACTGATAATACAATTAGGCCTAGGTGATGGGCTTTTTTCCCCTGATGATCTGTGACTGCTGCTTTAATAAATGAGTCTTAAATGTTTTGGTGACTACAGCATCTTAGTCTGGCTTCAGAGCTTGGCATTGCAGTATGGCCCCAGATTTCATTTGGCAGGGAGAAAGCATGTGTCTTTCTTATCCACCAAGTGTTTGTTTACAGCTTCTCCAATGGATGCATGTAAATCCTTGTATATGTATGTGGTGACTTGTAGTTTGGAAATAATGGTTTGGAAATAATACTAGATGTTGTCCCTGGCCACAAAGCTTGGCACCTACTGCAGCAATCTAAGTGTTTCCTCCATCACCCGTGCTGAGAATGGGTAGAGCTGAAGTAGAGCAGCCCAAGATGTCCCTGTGAAGGAGGCCACTGCACCAGCAGCAGGTTTTAAGCTGGATGTTGACCATATTACAAAGGCATTGTTAGGAGAGGGGTGGCACCATTGCTCTGAACTGCAGCTCTGAGAATAACTGGATTTGAGCTGGTTGGCTGAACCGAAAAAGTCATGCCCCAAAAAAACCAGAATTAATTTCCTTCTGACTTCACAAAAGAATACGTTTGAAATTTAATATTAGGCTTTGGGTAGTTTATTTTAAACCTTACTAACTCTTTTCTTGAACTGTGAGATTTTCAAAATAAATATTTTCAAAATAAAATGTTTAGAAAATGTAGAAATGGTTTGACTTGAAATCCTGAGCTTCATCTTCAGCTGTCAATTTTAATTTGGCTTACCAAAAGATTTAAGCTGCTCCAAACAGCATTTTTCAGCAGAATAAAAAAATGATATGCTTTAGTGGCTCTTTGCACACGTGTGTGTGTGTATCTCTGTGTCCCACCTCTTTGTTCAGGAGGTGCTTGAACCCTGCCAAGCCCCCTCCACTTAAGACTGTGGATAGGGGCACTGAAGGTATCTCCTGACACTCCTTCAATCCTGGCTCTGCTTTTCAGCTTCAAGCACAGTGCAAGGTAGCTGGGTATGAAGATGGCTTCATGTTTTTAAATTGTGTAAGCTTAATTTAGCAAAGACAACAGACTAAGAACATTTTATTGTAAAGCAGCGAAATTCAAACTGCCCCATCCATACCCAGTGATGCAGCCCCTGCCCTGGGGTTTGACATTCTTTGCCAAATTGGGGAGCTCTCTGCTGAAGCCCAACTTCCTTATTTAGGCTTTCTCCCTTCACCATGAGTTATTTCAGGGTCCGGGTTTGTCGTGATTATTTTTTTCAGGAGCTTTATTTCCTTGCTGTGTTTTGTTTTCTCCCCCTAGACAAACATTGGTTCCATCTTGGCATCAGTAAATCCCTACAAACCCATCCCTGGTCTGTACAGTGTGGATGCCATAGACCTGTACAGACAGCACCGCCTGGGTGAGCTGCCTCCCCATATCTTCGCCACCGCTAATGAGTGCTACTGCTGCTTGTGGAAGCGTCATGACAGCCAGTGTGTTCTGATAAGGTTAGAAATGGGAGAACCAGCTACTCCCTGACTGCATTACACGCCTTGCTCCTGCTGCTCCATTTGCAACGACATCTGCTTAAATATCCACGCCATGCTACCCTACCCTTTGCCTGACCCCTGCTTGCCGCAGTGGAGATGCTACGTGTTTATTCCTGGAGACCACTTCTCTGTTGTGGGTGGGATGGTCATTAACTTGGTCTGTCCTAGATTTGTAAATGGAATGTATATCTTCTTTAACAGCGGAGAAAGTGGAGCTGGAAAGACTGAGAGCACCAAGTTGCTGCTGAAATTTCTATCAGCCATGAGCCAGACCTCCCTCGGGGCCCCTGTGTCCGAGACGAGCACTCGCGTGGAGGAAGCCATCCTGGAAAGCAGGTATCGTCACCCCCACGGATGCCCCATGTCCTGTCCTGCAGAGGCCCGGCAGGCCCGCGAATGCCGGCTTGCTGGGGCAGCCTGCCTTTGGCAGGGGCACTGCCTTCTGCACGGTGCCTGCATTTGGGCTGCTTGAGTCGGGCCGTGGATGGAGCCAAACCTGGGCAGTGAGGCTCATGTGGCTGAACAGTGTCATGTCAGGGAAATGTGGAGGTTGCGGTCTCGCCGGCATGCCTCACGCTGGCTGCTCTCCCAGCTGCTTGTGGATTAATTCGGCTTCTTTCCAATAGCAGCACAGGGTGTGTGGCAGCCAGAGAATTAATGCTCTAGCCAAGGCTGGGATTTCTCCTTCCTTCAGTAATTCATCCTCCATGCCCGCCTGGCTGCACCCTTGAGCTCACTCGCACATCACTGCGCTGTCCCTCTTTCCAGCTCTCAGGCCCACGTCTCTCGTGGCAGTGGCTGGAGGGGATGTGGGTAACGTCCCTCCCTGCCGCAGGGATGGCTGTCCCAGGTCGTCCCTGTCGCCCACAGCTCTCAGTTGTGGCTGTGCTCGTGGTAAGTCTCTGTCGCGCTCTGACTCTCAGTCTTCTCCTTTAGCCCCATCTCTCCCCTGGCCTCCATTTGTTTCAGGCTGCCAGTACGTCTTGCCCTCAGAGGTCCTGTGGGCCACCTTGCAGCTCTCTTGCTGTCCAGGCAGGTGATTTTAAGGAGAAACGTCCATGGGAGCTGTAAGGGCCATGAGTGAGGAGGTTTGCCTGGGGGCTGCAGCAGGGCCTGTGCAGGGAAGTGCATGGCGCCTGGGTCAAAGGTGTTTGAGAAGGAAACCGGCAGCCGTGAGGGGATGGAGACGCGCTCTGTGGGGGATCCTTCATGCCAAAGGAGGTCCTGACACCCCTGAGGGACCACGACCCATGCCAGGGCAGGGACACCCATGCCAGGGCAGGGACACCCCTGAAGGACCATGGCCCACCCCAGGACAGGGACACCCCAGGACCATGGCCTACGGGTGACCCACGCTGGAACAAAGTGGGTCAACAACAAGGAAAAAAGTGTCAGGAAGACTTGAAGAAGCAAAGTGCAGCTGAGGAAAACCAGTAAGAGGCAAAGAGCAGCAGAGAAAATGAGGAAGCAAAGAGCGACCCTAAGAAACCGTTATGTGTGGGACCCCGGCCTCCTGCGCTGCCCACTGCCTTGCGGGGGAAGTTGCGAGGGACCGGTTGTAGCCTGAGGTAAAAATGAAAGCTCAGGCTGAGGAAGGGGAGCAATAGGTGTTTGACGTCAGGTAAGCCTTGGGAAGAGGGAGGAAAGATGTTTGCTGTGTCTATTTTCTTAACACCTGAATCCACAACCAGAAGTTTCTCTTAATTAGCGATAAATTAAATTAAACAAAAATTTCCCAATGCAAGACTGCCTGGAGGACCTTGCTGGGGGTTTTGCAGTTAGGTACTGTCAAGGGTGAGGCTGTGGGTTGGTCCCACTTTGAGCCTGTGATAGTTGCAGAAACCTCCAGAGGAGTGAATCAGATGTCTGCAACAGGATCTAGTTGTGTAATAAGCTGGAATCCTTTGAACCATCTGTGTAAAAGTGACTCTCATGCAAGTGGCATATTTCAGGGCCCAGGGAGTAGAGAGAAGGAATGTTTCCTGGAAGACAGTGACACAAAAAAGTTACTAGTAACTATGGTGAAAATAGCAGACATGCGGTGTCTAACGTGGCAGCTGCAAGAGCATTGCAGTTTTTAGGATCCTTATAAGCAGAGCAGCATTGAGCAGAAGGGTTGCTGCCTTTGGACCTGGTGCTTGAGAGACCATTGTTGGATGATTTATCCTTTGCAGGTGTGCAGATTTTACCAGGGACATTGGCAAATTGGAAAAAGCTCTTAAGTGCAATACAGTCACGACTCAAGACCTGCAAAATCTGCTTTAAGGCAAGCGGCTTAGAAGGCTCAAGCCCGCTTAGCAGTTAAGTGGTAACTTAACTGTGATCCAGAAAGCTTACGATGGTAGGTAGGTGATTCCTGAGTCTGCAAGATCCCACAGCTGTGAGGTGAAGTGGAGTAAGAGCTTGTGACTCGTTTTGTGTACATCTCTAGTGCTACGTGAGCTATTGCGATGCAAGTGCAAAAGAATTTGATTTGTCACCTTTTCCCTGAAGAAGAGAAGCTGAAGGCCTGGCCCAGAGCCAGAAGCTGCTGCCACTCCTAATGAGTCTACCTCATATGTTTGCAGTTCAGCTTCGCTTGCTCTGCCAGTGGCCCTCCTTGGGTTATCTTATGGTGGATTTTCATCCTTGCACTCCAGCACATACCCAGGAACAATGCTGGATTCTTTCTCCATTTCAGACAGCATTATAAACAAAGTGTTACGTCAGCTTTCATTTGCTTGTGTGTTGTAACATTCATGCTTGGTGTATTTCTCAGAAATCAGGCTCTGAAAACTCCCTTGGCACTGTTGATTTGGTCTGTTTTCCTTCTTGAAAATATCCATCAGTCCATTAAAAATTCTGCTAACTTTCCTCTCAGTTTTTTTCTTGCTTGCTTCACTCTGAAGCTCCCTTCTCCACGTTGGGTGACACTGCTGACAGCATAGCCACCCCTCCTGTAATTCATCTCTCTAATCTTCAAATCTTCTTTTTTGTCTTGAGCTATGTGTCTGAATCCTGGAGCTGCATATGTTGCAATATTTCTAAAATCCAGGCTTCGCTTTCTGCTGCCCTGCTGAATCTGGTTCTCATCATCTTGAGTCCTGCAACACACCCATCCAGCCCACATCCAGCTGAGCAGCCAGCATCACCTTCCTGATGCGCCGCTCCGCCTCGCACAGTTCACTGCTGCATCAAATGCCACGTTGTGATGTGCCTTGCTGGCGCGGGCAGTTTGCTTGGCCCAGGCACCTGCCCTCATTCCTGGCTGTATCAGCTCACCCACCCCTCTGCCTTGCAGCTGCCGCCAGCATCAGACACCCACGTGCCTATTTCCTCCCCCATCCCTGAAAGACTTCCGCACTCATGTGCGTGAGCCCATTGCCAAACTAAACTATAAAGATACTTCCTTGTGCTTTGCTTATCTAATTTAACATGATTTAGAGCCATAAAGATTGGCTGGCTGGTTACTGCACTCTCACTGCAACTGTGAAAGTCATATAACATAACCCTGTCCTCCCTTTTTCTGGTTGTCCCCATTAATTTTTGTTGATTCATGGCGTTGGTGTGCTCAGTGGGATATTCCTGTGCAATGTCCTTATTTACATACTTGTTTCAGAGGCGTGGGTCTTGGAGTTCAAATTCTCCAGGGCAAGGAACTTACCTCCTGATCTGTGCACACAGACTTCTGTGACTGGGTTTTCTATGGTTGTAATGTATTATAACAGAGCAATTTCATTTCCATGCTTTTGTTTGTTTAAAGTGATATTTTCAAGAGATAAATTAGGAAAATACTGCCTGAAGTTTCCTGAATGCTGTTGAGCCTTTCCCACAACCACAGCTCTCACTTAGCTAGCACTTGCAAGGCCTGAAGCTTTCAACAAACTCCAGCGGTGTGTGATCTGTAGTTGTGATTATTTGTTGTGTTATAGTTATTAACTTGTGAATAATCCTGTACCTGCCCCTGTCTCAAGTGGAACTGCACAGTAGATAAATGGAGACGTTTAAAAAGCCAGTATTTCTCAGGGTAGTAACTGTAATAACTTGTTAAAAACTATGTATGTTTTAGAATTAAACATGATTGCCTAATGGCTATTCTTGTAGCATTTCCGTGATTCCTTGCTTGTCAGGCCTCCAGATTATTTTAGAATTGGCTAAATTGCAAAAATGAATGTTTTAGTCCTGGATTCAGCATGTCAGTTTGAATGGTTTAGGTTTTTCCCTTCTACTGTTCCGTGGAGCAAGAACCAAGCTGCATTTTAACTATTTTCCATGTTGTATGAACCTCCTGAAGGCAGGAAGGTGACCGGGAGACAAAATTCTTCAGTTCATCACCTGTCTGAAGTTTGGTGATAGATTTTTCCTGAAGTGGATGATGTGGCTCTCTTAGAATGAAGTTTTCAAATCTATAATGTGTGTATATTCCCTCTGCTCGGAAACCATGTGGTTTGTATCAACCTAAGCAAGATTTAAGTAACAACAAGGGTTTGTGTGATCCCATATCAAATTTCAGTACCAAACAAATCAGTTTAGTACTATGTTTGTCTGTTAGTTTGAAAATGTTTACCTGTAATTTTAAGAGATGGCTTATACTGTCTTCTCTTTCAAACGTAGAAATAGAAACAAAGAAGTATGTGGTTTAAAGCTACAGAGAGTTTGCCCTATATGTCTGATGCTTCTGAAAATCCTGAAAAAAATACAAATCCATTTCATGGAATGCTGCTTTGTTAAGCACACAACCTGGCTGGGTCTTGCCACCTTTCATTTCCTGAAGCCACATTGATGGGGAATGCCCTCGATGGCGTGAATGCCAGCTGCCCATACTGATTTGGGACTGATTTAATTAACTCCAATCCCAAAGGTTTAAAATTTATCTAGCAGTGTGTTAAATTGCTCTTGCCATCCTTCCTTGCCCTTGAGCTCTTCCTGCTTGTCCAGTCTGGTGCTGTAACGAATTAATCTCATATGGCAGTGCACGCTGTGCAAATGGCAAAAGGCTGGGCACACGCTTTGTTTTAATGGTATCCCATCACCAATCATATCTTCATTGCTTTGTTTCTGCAGCCCCATTCTGGAGGCCTTTGGAAATGCCAAGACAGTTTATAACAACAACTCCAGCCGCTTTGGCAAGTTCATCCAGCTGCACTTCTCTCAACATGGACACATCCAGGGAGGCCGAGTAACTGATTGTATCCTTTGCTTCAGTGGACCAGAAATGGATGGACTGAGTGAAGATGAGGAGGAGCTCAGAGTGGGTCAGGAAATCCCTCATCACAGTTTCTCAAAGCCAGTTTATAACTGTGGGCAAATTTGCAACTTAAAGAGGGAAGAACTGTTTGTTTTGTGGCTCTGCAGCACCTAACTCTAGAAACCTTTTGTCTAGGTACTACCTTAGGTAGGGACATAGTTTGACTTTTCACTTTGGCAATCACAGCACTTGATACTTAAATCCCTAGAATTTGCTACCTAGGAAGATCCCTCATGTTGATTGCATCCTGTTTTTCCCAGAAGATTGTTCCCTTATGTTAGCTCTGCCAATGAATTCATGATTCAGAAAAGTGAGACCAAGCTAAGAGTCTGCACAATATTTGGATGCAGAGGAGAACAGGAATTTAGAGGGCCAGTTATGACTCCCTGTTTTGGGCTGCCCGTCTCCAGTGGACCTTGGAACCCTCATCATAGAATCATAGAATATCTCAAGTTGGAAGGGACCCATAAGGATCATCGAGTCTAACTCCCTGCTCCTCGCAGGACTACCTAAAACTAAATCATATGACTTAAGAGCGTTGTCCAGATGCTCCTTGAACTCTGACAGGCTTGGTGCCGTGACCGTTTCCCTGGGGAGCCTGTTCCAGTGACAATAAGGACAGGGAAGACTGGATATAGTCGAATTATGTTGTGCCATGACCACTTTCTTCCCTGTATGCCCATGTACCCCTCTGCCAAAGGCTTTGACATATCTTTTGTCTACATGAGGCAGGTAAAGCTGCCCTGGCTACATTTCTTGATGTTGATGTTCAAAGCTGCTGATGACTGCAAACCACACCAATTTCCACTGGAGTAGCAGCCAGATGAATTTACTACTGTTGTAAATAACAGGCTTGGATTGTTTAGTCTCTGCTCTTTGTGCTGTCGGTAGATTAAAGATAGAGGTCTCTTGCAGAAGCAATGAGAACTGATGCAAGACTTGCTGTGTGCAATGCAGACTTTCAGATTAGAGTGGCCTCTCTAATCTTTCTAGGTGTCCCTAATGTGGCTCATCCTTTGTTAGGTTACCTCAGCACTGTGCAGGTCCTATGCTCTATCTGACCCTGCCCTTTTAAATATCTCTTTGGCACATAATACCTCCTTGGACAAGGAGTAGAGAGGAGGATCCAAGATGATGTTTGGGACCACTCTTTGTCCACTTTCCAAAACGTCAGTTATTTAATGATTTATTGCTTGTTACAGGGTTCATCCCAATGTGTCTAGAAGATTCTTTGCCAGTTGTTGGGAGATCTGTGCATATGTCATTTGAATGTGTTCTCCTTAACATGCTGTTCAGATTTACTAGAAAAGGTAGGTATCACCTCTACTGACTGCTGGGTGAGCCCTCTACCCCCCTCATAGTATGGTGGGGCAGTGCCAGTTCTCCTACTGGATGATGCTGCCTCCATCACAGCACATAGACATTAGCTCTTTAGGTGTTACTACTGCAACTGTCCCCCCTGAGGAAGAGGATGGTGGAGGAACAATGTTTGTTCTATGTCAGAGCCTGTTCTGTCATTGATAAATGCTGTGCATTACAGAGAGACTCCAAGAAAAAGCTGTTTACCGAGTGGAAAAGGAGAGAGAACAAGTACCTGGAAACTCAATTCCATAGAGAGGAATATGGGAGTACAACTCCAAATGCAGCATCTCTGCTCTGATGTAGTTTACTTTGGACTCAGGAACTCACTGAGGAGCAGGGCCAGAGCTGACCAGATTCAGTTTGTCCATACGTGCACTCTCTAAGTGAGTTCAGAGAAGTCTGTACATGCTCAGTTGTACAGCCACACATGACAAGATCTTGATGTAGAGCTTACACGACACCATCACTAAACTGGAAGAAACCCCTCTTGTGCATTGGCCCTTGAGATTTACCTGTATCCTGGTCTTCTCTTTGTCTTTGCAACCAAAAGTGTGATCTCTTTCTACTGGCTATTCCTGTATTCTTTGTTTCAGAACAGAGTGGTACACCAGAACCCTGGAGAGAGGAATTACCACATCTTTTATGCTCTGCTAGCTGGTGTGAGCGGGGAGCAGAAAGGTAATTTAATTTTCTGGGATATGGCTCTGTCCTCTTTCCAGGCCAGCACGTGAAGCAGGTGTAAGTCAACTAGAGCATGGATATTTCAGGTACTTGATATATCATCAACTTCTTCTTGAAGGCCATATGGTGATTTCATGGAAAACAGAAAGGGGAGTTGAGAGAAAGAGGCTGAGGATGACAGAAATGCTGTATGAGAAAAGACACTTCAAGCATTCTGAGCTGGAAGGAAAAGTCTGTGCAAAGTGAAGAGGGGGTATAGAAAGATGAGGTAATGAAACTGGCTAGAGGCAAAGGAAGGGTAAAGAGACTTGATTCAGATGCTGATGGGAGCTGTTCAAGGAGTTCAAAGTTTGGACTGACAGACATACTTTCACAACAAACCTTCAGTATAGGAGAGAGAAGAATTAGAAAGACCAGCAATGTAGTGGCAGGACTAGAGTCAAAACATATCTAGTATCTAAACAAAGGGTTTATAGCTCTGTAGATGGGGAAGGGAGAGGTGGATCTGGAAGAGTGTGTGCAGAGAAGGCAGCAGCTGCAGGCTGTGGAAGAATCCTCTCTGTAGTGCAGCACCCCCTTACCAACATTTGTGCGTACCTGCCCCAGGTACTGCTGAGCACTGATGGTCTTGCTGAAGAGGTCAGATAGGTGGGCAGGAATATGTTACAATTGCACTCTGGTTTTGAGGGACTGGGGAATTTCTTTATGCCTTTGTTCTATGTGTGTTAGAATAATCAGTTGGAAGAATTTGGCCTGACACAGAGAGGAAGGAAGTAGGGCTTCAGTTCTAGGGAGTTCATGCAGGGATGGCCACGTGGGTCAATTCAGAGATCCATCTAAAGCAAAGGGAAATAGCGGGGACCATTGTTATCAGCAAGTACTTAGGGGAAGCATACAAACCAGATTATTTTCTTCAGCAGATCTCTGCTATTCTTCCCCATCTCCCTTTCCAAGCTGGTGTCCCAGGCTGCTTCACTTCCCCCATGTGTAATGTGTTTCTGTCTCTTGATCATCCTTGTCTCCTTTCTCCATAGATCTTTCAGTTCTCCTCTATCCTTTTTGAAATGGGGGATCAAACCTGCAGATAGTATTTAAGACGTGGTTGTGCTACAGACATGTACAGAGACCTAATTCTGGTTTTATGTTTAGTTCTGCGTTCCTTCTAAAACTGAAGGAACTGAACTGGTTTTGACTGCTGCTCAGCACTGATGTCTTCAGAAATCTTACTGTGACTCTCAGAACTCTGTCTCAATTGGTGATACCTAATTTAGAGGTCATTACTTTATGTGTATAGTTAAGACTGTTTTTCTGTACACTTTATGAGATTGAATTTCATCTTCTGTTTTTTTTTTTGTTGGTTTTTTTTTCTGAGTCAATTCAGTATTGAATATTCTTCTGCCACTCTGCAGCTTGGGATTTGACTGTTCTAAATCATTTTGCATACCATCTGCGAGCTTTGCTACCGCACACCCTCCTCTTCCCCTTCCCCAGTGCATTCACTGTCTAGGTGTGCCTTCTGAGGGATATGGAATCTGTTCAGATGAACTCTTCCTGTGGTAAACATACACACTATTTTGGGGGACTAAGAATGAAAAGGCTGATTGCTAAATAAATTGTTGTCTTTCTCCTCCCTGCCTCTTTTTCCTTTGTTGCAGAGAGCCTCTCCCTCTCTGAGCCAGAGACTTATCACTACTTGAACCAGTCTGGTTGTGTGACTGATGAGAACCTGAATGACGTAGAGATGTTCAGTAAGGTCATGGTGAGTCCTGTCCTAACTCCTCCTGAAATTCTGGGCACAATCTTGTGGGCTAAGTGTGCTGCAGGGTCTAGATCTCACAGGCAGAATTTATTTGCCCTAAGCCAAAATTTGGTGTCCAACGAGTCTGAAACTCAGGTCTACCTATTTATGGTAAAAACAAGGCTCAAAGAGTGTTTTTAGTGTACAGAAATGGGGGAATTTGGGAAACAGTCAAGGATGAATAATAATTTAGAATGATGAAGACTTTGGGGAGCATGAACCACACCCCCCAGCCCATAAGGGTTCCTGGGAGCCCTCTAGATGGCCTGATGCAGGAGACCTCACACTGACCATTAGATGGGGAACAGTTTGGTCTGAAGGTAGCATTCTCCAGAAATGTTCTGGTAAAGTTGTATCACCTGAGCAAATGGCATATTCTGAAATACCACACAAATTTCAATGGACATCTGTAACTTTACCAGAGGGTATGGGTTTAGCAGGATGGATATGCAATTCATGTTTTGCTTGATAAGTGGTTATCGGCCTGAGGGCTTTAATAACGTAGGTGAAACCAGATAGGCAAGGTGAGAGGAGTCAGCTTAGGATTTCAATAGCTCCTGCTTAAGTGTGATTTAAGAGAAGGAAATGTCTCCTGTACAGCAGAGGTTTCAATGGTGACACGGCTTTTATACTTCAGCTGAGGAGAGGCCTGGAGGAAAGAAGGGAACTAGACCCCTGGAGTGCCCCACTGGCAGGGTGAATGCATGAAAACTAGGTCCTACCTCTCAAAGTCAATTTATGCCCCAAGAACCCTGGCTCACATGCATGTACTAAGACAGAGGAAACGTGCCATACTTCCTCATTATCTGGTAACCTGTTTCTAACTTTCTAGCAGTTAATGCTGAAAGCCTGGATTTAAACATTGCTGCATAAATTTTACTTCTCTAAGCTAGACTAAATTAAGGGGGTTATACAGATCAGAGTAAATTAAGTAAATTATATGGATCTGTCCTTCAGGGAAGGCAATAAGGCAGTATATGGAAGCAGTCCAGCGACATCTGTAACCTGTGTTGCCAGTGTTCAGGGAAGGATTTCCTCACACAGGCACAGACAAACACGTTCTTCCTGTGACAGACAGGCAACGGCAGCAGCAAAGTCCAACTTGAGGATAGGGCAAATGCCCACCTGCCTTAGATGGGGATAGGGTAAATGAAGGAGAGAATGGGAGACAGTGAAGATCATTGACAGATGTATAGCTGAGAGAGGGGCTGTGCCATCCCCAGTTTCACTTTGATTCATGATGACTATAATTCTGAGTTTTACGTCTTACATGGGCTGGGCATGAGTGTGGTGGTTGCATTGTACTGTGGCTGTATGTACAGCCAACGTTAGCTGTATGGTTTTGCATAGACTGCCATGAAGGTGGTGGACTTCAGCACTGAAGAAATCAGAGACATCTTCAAGCTTCTTTCTGGCACACTTCATCTGGGAAACATTGAATTCATGACAGCTGGTGGGGCCCAGGTTACAACGAAAGCAGGTAAGTGGGACCCTAGCAACTTGGTAGACCATGCAAAGCCCCCTAAGGCCCCCAACAAAGCTCACTCCATCGTCCTTTCTCCCTCTGCTGTGCTGGTCTGCAGTGCCTTTGCCAGCAGATTCCCTGCAGTTTAACTCTGCAAAAGCATTGCCACAGGATGCATGGCTCACTGGTATGATTTAGCTGGGCTGTGGCCCTGGGATCCGTTTGTTCTCCTGGATACTCCCAGACTGAGTCCACAGTCTCACAGTTTCTCTCTTGTGTTGAAGGCGCAAGAAGAAATAGGAACAGGGAGGAGTTTGAGATAAAAGTAGTCTGTTACAGACTTCCCCATTTCTTCCTTTGAAGCATCTGCTAGCATGCACTCTGTTACAGTTATCCAATCTGAGCTGGTCTGGTAAAGTGAATCCCTAAACAGACAGAAGCAATAAATATATACAAGTGCTTCAAGTCTTAAGTTAGTTGCCTCTCTTCTTGACATCCAAGTTTAGCAATCCCACGCTCAGACTGCACTATTATGCCTTTAGGAAAACATATCTTCTCATTCAATAAATATTTTGCTGGTGCTGAGTGCTTTGCTCTTCCTGTTGTCAGCAGAAAGGCTGACATATGAGTGTCTGACTGTGGCCCGTAACGGCTGCTGACCCTGCCTTAGACTGGATATGTGAGCTTACAGCTTTTGGTATGCCAAAGAGAATTAAGAAAAGGGGAGCGCATTTTGTGCTGGGGCTTAGTCACTTGCCTTGTAGGAGTCCCTGGGATTTCCTCATCGAGCTGCAGAATATGGATCCCCTATGAGTGATGGGGATCCACGCAGGAGAAAAAAGTGTGTCCTCCTTTGTTATTAGTGCTGAACATTGCCAGTGACCTCCTGGGCTTAGACGCCTTCCAGCTTTCCGAAGTACTGACGCAGAGGTCCATGATTCTGCGTGGGGAAGAGATCAGCTCCCCTCTCACTGTGGAGCAGGTAAGTGTCCTAGCGTATGCTACTGCTTCTGCCACTTCTGCATTTCCAGGCCCTCTGTATCCCTCTTGTATCATCCGTTCAAGTTCAGGGTTTCCTCTTACACCCCCTAGGTGCTCAGCTGTGTCCAAGTATTTTGCCCTTATTGGTAGTTCAGGTCCCAGTGTTGACCCTGCTTTTTAGGCTTTACAGGGGGAGTTCACTTGCAAATGGCAATGCACAATACTGGCTTTAAGTCACCTTCACTCACCAGGAATTGGTCATGCTAGTGTCATGCAGAAGGTCCATCAGATGCTTTGTGGTAATTGCATATGTGCATGCTTTTACCTTGCAGAACTCCCAGGTTACGCTGCATTTACTGGAAGATAAAAGCTTGCACACAGTTACCATGAAACATCTAGCAGATGGTAGGCTGTTACCCCACAGTAGCTTCTTTGTGTATCCATACAACAGCAAAGGAGGACCAAATAAACTGATATGTAGTTCTCATCTTCTGAACCTGTACTGCATGCTGGAGCCAGTCCTGCTTATCTATTACATTTCTCTGTGGTTCATTACGGTGTTGTGCCTACTAGCTTTAACTTGTGGTGGTGTTGATCACTTGAGGGCACTCTTGGTGTTTTAGGTCCATGCACAAATAACTGTAGAAAATCTTCTGTCATTAATAAATGCAAGACACTGGGAAACAAGGAATAATATTGCTAGGATGGAATAAGCATCGTGTTACAGCAAAATGAACATCTGTAATGGAAATCTTGTGCTGGCACAGACTGCAGAGGGTTATCAATCCAACCCCTTCACTGGCAGAGAAACCAGAGTTACTAGGCTCTCTCTGACGGATGTATGTCTAACTTTGCTTCAGATTTCCCATGGAAGGAATTTCACAGCCTCTTTAAGTATCCTGCTCTAGCTGCAGTGGAGTCTGGAGCTGAAAAGATTTTCCTCATATTTAGATTACCTTTGACATCCCAGCTGTCCACCTTATAAGCTTCCGCTTCTGTGAAGTTTTTCACATGGTGTTCTTTCTAAGCTAAACGATCCAGTTCCTTCAAAGTTTCCTTATAAGTAATTTTCTAAACCTCTTCTTCTTCTGTCTCTATTTTCCCACATCTTTCAAGAAGTGGAGTGCCTATAACTGGACACCGTATTCAAGCTGAAGTCTCAGCAGTGCTCATTTCAGCAGAGTAGTTTCTTGCTGTGAACACACCTGCTAATATATCACAAACTAAGCTTTGCCTTTAAGAAATGGTATCTTTTTTCACAGTCTGTGACCTTTCTTTGCAATAAAATTGTGTGACATTTATTTTTCAGCCTATAGTCTGTAGTAGATATCCTCAGTATCTAGTACCACAGTTCCTCTTCTCAGCTGTCTGTCCTAAATAAGCCACACCTTTCTATATCAGTGCACAAGGATGGATAACAATGCCAGAGACACTCAATGCAGTCCAGAGCACAGTGCACAGTTGTAGGGTTTACAAGAGTCTCCCTGAACAGAGCTTTCCCTGATAGTATAGCTATTCCTGACATTTGTGCATGTTGGACCCTACACTTACTGCTTGCAGCCCAGTGAAGTACTAAGACTGCAAAAAAAATTGTTATAGCAAGTAGATGCTACTACTTAGCCATCTTTACTAGGTGAACCTGTTCCACTCAACACTGGGCCTGTAAAGACTTCCCGCTTAAGTCCTCATGTACTGTGCCTACCTATTCCCACTTGTTGCTGCAGGAACACATTGATAGAGCTGCCAGGGATTTCTCATTGTGTAATGGGCTCGTTGCCCGTCTGAGCTTTGACATTTCAGAGGGCTGAATGGATGAACTGGCCTGAAGGCGGACAAAGCTGGGAGGATGAAAGGAGCCTTTGAGAATCTCATTTGAGCCATATTGTGGGGAAAGCGGCTTTGCTTACAGCTGGATGGGGAGGTCCTGTTCCTGGAAAATGAGTCTACCTTACTGTGTAGCCAGAGACACTCCAGAGGCATGGCCTTGAGGGCATTCTCAGTCCTGACTGAGATCTGATGGAGAGAAGAAATACCCAGAAAAGGCGTGTGTGCCCATGCTTTGGAATGTTCTGTTCTGTGGATAAGGGAGGTTGCTGTGTGTCCTAGGCCTTTGGCTGCTGGAGAAGAGATACTATCCAGGAAGAGAAAGGAGGAGAAAAACAGTGAGATTGGGTGAAAAGGAGGATCTTGCAGGCTGGGCCTCAGGAGCTTGCTGAGAGGGGCTGGGAGGAGTCAGAGGCAGTTGGCCTGTGCCATTAGCAAAGCAGAACAGGAGAGGTCACGTTATTCAGGCTTGCAAAACTGAAGAGGATGAGGGTGCATTTAGAAGATCTCTGTCATTGCTGGTCAGGTCTACTGAAGGAATTACCCTGGTGTCACAGGTGAGACAGAGTAAACAACCTGTAATTGATCTAGATACTGCAGTTTATTTATGAAATGACAAGATTATAGTTTTTACCCTACTTGATTATTTCACACGCTTGCTCACCCCTCAGCATTACATTCATTAGATGTCAACTTCTTTTCCCAGTAGGAAGACTGCTGCTTGTCCAGGAGGGTCAGGTAGAAAGTTTTGTTGGTTCATGTTGTGTAGCTCCTTGCAGTTACCAGTCTCAGGAGCTACCAGCCAAGGTCCTTGGGCATACCCTGACATTTGTCTCTACGTATCTCTGATCTCCAGGATCTTTCCCCACTCCAGCATCTTTCTTCCAGTCAAGATTTTTGCCGCCTTCTTTTCCTGGCCCCTTTTTCTACTCTCTGGGATCATGTCTTTTTTATGGGAACCCTTATTTTGGGTCTCCTCTTCTTTCCAGAACCCTAAGCCCTGGTTTCCCAGTCTAAATAGTATATGTGCAGAAGCACAGCATGTGATCAGCCTCTTAATTAGTGGTTCTGTCTCATGTCTATTTATTAATTGGAGAATTTGGGGCGTGCCACTTTTGGTTAGTCCAAGTGTTATCAAAACTTACAACCAGCCCATTCCTGTTACAGCTATCAAGCAGCAGGCTTTTGCTTGAGATTTCAAAAGTTCAATTTTGGACATTCATCCACACACATGCACCCAATTATCTACTGCCTGTTAGTGATCACAATTTAAGTTATTTTTTCCACCTCTGACACTTAGTTATGATTGCTGCATGGGATGTTGGGTGAGCTCCAGAAAGGTCTCTCAACCCATGCTCTTCTGGGGCATGTGTCCTGGCTGTTGGCTGGCCTACCCTGGCTTCTAGTAAGATAATGCTGTTTGCAGGAATGTTTTGGAGAGGGAATTTTTGAGGCTAACTTGGTGATAGAATATTAAATCCTGCCCGACCAGTTTTTGAAAAACTGAGCGGACACCTGTTTGATAGCTCTACTAGGAGTACTGAACCGAGATACCTTGCCTGTCACTGCAAATGTTGGCTCAGGTGATACAAATGACTGCTGTGGGTTTAGTCATGAGGTATTTTGCCACCTTCCCTGCCCCAGCACTTGTTCTGAAAGATGTCAGTGATTTTGCTACTTCCTTCAGCCTCTCAAGTTCAGTTACCCAAAGGTCATTTATGGTACATCTGTGTGTGGCTGGGCTTTTTGCAAACTTGAATGTTGACTGTACGTATAAATACTGCACCGTGCACAACCAGTACAGAGGCTGAGACATCTAAAGAGGAGTGGAGGAATCTGAAGTCCCATAGAGATTTGTGGTGCTTTCTCTTCTCCCTGTGACTCATTTTTTTCTCTCTGCATTTACAGGCAGCTGACTCCAGGGACTCCCTCTCTATGGCGCTGTATTCCCAGTGTTTTTCATGGCTCATTAGCAAGATTAATACGAAGATCAAAGGCAAGGAAAACTTTAAGTCTGTGGGCATCCTGGATATCTTTGGCTTCGAGAACTTTCAGGTCAGGATTTTGTCTTTTGCAGGATGGGTTGGTTTTGGAGATGTCAGTGCAAATGGGAAGGAATTTTGGTAGGTTTGTATCCTGTTTAGGTTAGCGTAGGGCATTCTGGGATTTCTCCACTGCCACTTCCCTCTGGGAGCAGCAAGATATATTTAGCTGCCCATTTCTGCCACCTATATTCACGTAGGCTGGTGTTCAAGGTCTGGTTTGTGACACAAACCCTAAGCAGATGTGCTGTGATAGGTAATATTGAAATTTTGACTTGTATACAAATTAAATGTCCAACTCCTACGTGCACGTTGTTTGTTTACATCTGTTTTGCCTCGTGTTGAGAATCTTTTGTGTAATGCTTCTGATTGCAACTGATGAGGGATGTATGTTGAGCAGCCGTATAGCGACTGCTCAGATATTTCACAGAAGAGAAAGCCCAGTGACCTAACACTTAGGGAATTATATTTCTTTCTTCCTAAGAAGAAGAGAAATTTGATTGTCTTTAGCATCCTTTACTACTATTTAGGCCTACTGAATTAACCTTGCATGAGCTACAAAAGCTGTTCTCCTAATGGACCTCCCCATACTCTCCTCCTCATGTCCATCGGAAGCTCCTTGCCTCTATGCGCTCTGGCTTTATTCCAGGCCTGACACCTTCCCCATTGCTGTTACAGCTTCTTTTAGAGCCCAGGGACAAGAATGTTAAGTGTTATAATCTTTGTTTCTTCTTACAGGTGAATCGTTTTGAGCAGTTTAACATTAACTATGCAAATGAGAAACTCCAGGAATATTTCAACAAACACATCTTCTCCTTGGAGCAGCTGGAGTACAACAGGTGACAAATGGAGGGAGTGGCCCCCCCATTGCTTTCATGGGTGGTAGAATGGAGGACATCATTCCTCCTTTGTGGTCTCCAATCTGTACTGCTAAGGCAGGAGAGGCAGCTGGGCCTTAGTGCAACCCTGACTGTGGATGTGTGCCTGTAAGCACTGTCCATGTGCTTTGCCAGCATAGGTCACTTGTCTCCAGACAAAAGATTCCCTTCTATCTCTCAGCTGAATTGGAAAATCTTGGGCTTTAACCCATTAGAACACATGGTCACTGTCCTTATTACTGACTTCAGCAATGATTTACCTAAGGTAATGGAGTTGTTATGCGGGTGGAATCTTGGTGTGTAAAAAGTAAAGTCCCTAAAGATAGATGGACAGATACCCGACAGCTCTTTCTGTCCTAGAGATTCCTATGCTGTGAAAAGGGCTCTTTTCCTCAGCAAAGAGATTTAAATCGGGCTGTTTCCTGAGCTTAAAGAGCATGGAGCCTTCTGCACAGCTGTTTCTCTTCCGTGGGCTTCGTACTGGATTGTATTTTGTGAAGTATCTGGGATGTTCTAGAGTATTTCTGCTTCTAGAGAAGGCTGCTAGACAAATAATTCAGTTCTTGCTCTGAAACAGAAGCCTTTATGTTTGTGAATGAAGCAATTGAATAGGGTCAGTGAGGGCAAATGAGAGCAGCCTTGTAAAAGGAGGCTGTTGAATAGGCAATTCATGAAATTCTAAAGATTACAAAACTGCAAGGCTATTTATGCACTCACTCACTTCTCAGGCCAATCCCACCATTGCAGGAAGCTTGTGTTAAGAATGGTATCATCGTGACAAAAGATTTTTTCCTGATGATTACATAGGAGTTTAAGTTCTGTGGCTGAACTCTGGAAAGAACAAGAGAATTTTATTATTGACTACTCATCAAGTTATTCTAGGGTGATGTGATTAAAGCTCATCTTTCACAGTATCAGCTCTGCTTCCTCAGGTTTAGTAAGTAGCTTCAAGTATTTCATCATTCGATTAGACAAGGGGTCTATGGCACTAGGGACAACTTGATTCATTTGTGATTTGATTTGTTTCAGAAAACTGCTCCCTTCAATTCTGGAAGGTCTTCTTGCTCTTAGAAGGAATCCAAGAGGTCTTTTTGTAAAAATATACGGCCTGTCTGACACCCATTGTTGCAAAAATCTGAAACACTGTGAACTGATATTTTTTTGTCATTAAGTGGATAAGATATTCTGTTTCCTGTGGGGGATAGATAGTTCTTTCCATTCTTCAGAAATTATTCCAGTTTGTTGCTTCCAACTGTTGCACACAGGTTTCTGAATGCTTTGAACCTGAAAGTATGAAGCCTAGGCTGAAGGGTTTGTAGACAACAGCTTCACTATCTTCAAAATGTTAGCCTTCACCTGAAAGGTGTCTGTATCAGAATGTCAGTAAGTAGCTTCACACATAACCTGTAGTCTTCCTTGGATTCCTGAGCAAGAGTTATTCCCAGGCTTCTCTGAATTCTGAAAACAGAAACGGCCTGTATTATGGGAGTATAAGAAGGGGGTAAGAGGGGGGAAAACACATTCAGCACAGATTTACAGAATTTCATGAATGATTTTCAAAGCACACTTATCGCACTGCTGTACCTACGTAGCTCCCATTCTGAAAGATGCAGGGCCACCCTATAGGTCCCCTGCATGTCAGGCCAAAGCTTATCTCTGTCACCCTCTTCAAAACTCTCCCTGAAAAGTTGCTCCTGTCTCTTCTTCTGGTGGACCGAAGAATTGTGGTTCAGTCTTCTGGCAGATGTGCTTCAGGCCTGCTTTCCAGAGTGGTGGGTCAGCAGTTGACTCTTGAAGCTGTCTAGCAAACTGTCCATTATCACCACCGCTTGGGCTGATGCTCATGACTCCTGAAAGAGCAACTGAGAACAACTACAATTTCTTAGTGCTTGGTGTGGAATTTGCTCAATGACTACAAGATAAGCATCAGTCTAAATCACTGGGATGGATAAGAAAGGCTGTGTCCTACTTCCATCTCCTTGTGTTAGCAGTGCATAGTGTGTCCTATTCTTTTTCCTCAGCCATGGCAAAGCCTAATTCCTGCAAATTGTCTTGAGTCTTGGGACAGCTGTTGTGCTCAGCTGCTTCTGTTCTCCTGCACCTCAGGGCATTGGATCTTGCATTTCACATCTTTGTTCTGTTTGTTCTTGACTGTCAGGGAAGGGATAAACTGGGAAGCCATTGACTGGATGGATAATGCAGAGTGCCTGGACCTTATCGAGAAGGTGAGCAGTTACCTGTGACACTTTCCAGGGATCACAGCAGGGGCTGCTGATTGTCTTGAGACCTTCCCTGGGGTTTCTTGGTTTTAAAAACAGGTAGTTGCTTAGAATCTCTTCCCATTGTGACCTGGCAAAAGTATGAGCTGTTCTAGCCATAGTCCCAGCTCAAGAAAGCAGATCTCTGCTCATTGTTGAGAATAAGCTTAGGGAGGGTGTCATAGTTTTAGACAGGGAGCAGCGTTTAAGTAAAACCTTAATGTGAATTTTTTATAAATAATCTCCACTTATGTTGTGCTTGCTGAATGCATTGACAGGCCAGAATTCTGCTTTCAGCTCGAGCTTTGCTGGGTTTAACTCAGGGGTTATTGCTCAATGTGCTGTCCAGATCTCCAGTTCTTGGCTTGGTGCTGTGTAGTTAGAGCTTTTGCTGACTGTAAAAGCCTGTCTCTTGTTTGGCTGTAGAAACTGGGTCTACTGGCTTTGGTGAATGAAGAGAGTCGGTTCCCCAAAGGCACAGACAACACCCTTCTGGAAAAACTTCACAGCCAGCATATGGTAAGTAAGAAAATAACCCAGCAGGCAAATAATCAGTATGTTAGCCCCATCAGCATTTCAAAAACGAAAGTGAAGGTTTTGTTGATGTAAAAAATGTGCTTTGTGCAGGAAATCTAAAATGCCTTAGGCCCAAACCTGCGTGTGTTTAATAAGGCTGCACTGAACAAAAGTAATATGTGAAGAAACCTGCAAATGGTCTCTTGCGTACATAGAGAGAGGGAGCATGCCTTCCACAGGCTATGGGTAGGGGAGATTTGAATTTGTAGCATGGGATGGAGATCAGGTTCTGCTGGTCTGCGACGGGACACGAGGCAGCACCCCAGGCACAGGATGCGGCTGCACAGTGTGCGTGGGTTTCTCCTGCCAGCTGACTCACAGGAGTCTGCTCCACAGCACATCAAATCTCTGTCTCCTGGGGCTGGGGACGGCTTTTGTCTCATGACTTTTAATGAAAGTTCTCTTATTGTTCCTAATTAATTAAATTCTTTCCTCCTCTTGTATTCTGCACACAGGAGTAGAAGGGCTTTTTCATGCAGGTCAGAAAGTTATCCTGGGGACACAGAAACCACAGTGAGATCACTGTAGGAATCTCTTACCCTGTCTCTAGTACAGCCAACACTCTGTTCTTCTTAATAGCAAATAGACTGAAAACAAAGCATATTAAACCTCATAGCATGCACTTAGGGAATAATTTACTACTTCAGTAAGAACATTGTCAGCTTATATGTTTCCTAGGCCTCTAATTCAGGCTTCATCCAAGCCTGAAAACATACAAATTTGTATCCTTTATCAGACAATTTTTTTTTAATTGGCATAGATGCAGATATCCTCATTTTTCATATTTGCATCTAACTCTGCTAGCAATACTCATGACTACAAATTGGACACAATAGCAATGACTTCTGGTTGGCTATTTACGCATAGTTTTGTGGAAATATTTCCTTTCTTTAGGCTTAAATTGATGCCTTCAATTTAGTCCGCTGTGGCTTTCCCTTGTATTAGAGGTCAAGGTATATGAGAATTCTTGATTTACCTTTTTTATTGTTGTTGGTATTTTGTTACCTTTTAATATAGAACTTATGAATATTTTTAATACATCACGTCTTTTGAATTTTCTTTCTGAACTGCCCCAACCTCTTCAGTTTGTCTCCAAATGGAGAAATTTCAAAGCTCCTCCTTCTTTCTGCTGTTTGTCTCTGAACTCCTCTACATCTTTTCTCTATTCTTTTCTGAGATAAATAATCAGACCAGAATGCAGTTCCCTGCATAGGTAAGAAGGTACCTGTGGTTTATTGTACAGCAGCATGAGACTGTTAGTATTATTTTGCATTCCTTTATACCCCACAACATTTTGGTTGTTATTTTTGTTGATTTCTGTGCATTGAGTAGCCTTTTGATTAAGCTGTTCATAGTGTCACATCTGTCTGCTTTGAGGGGATAGCAGTTAATGTGGAACCCTAGGGAGCTTACAAGAGATGGAAGAGTCTGAGGAGTTGGACTGCAGGGAGGAATAATGAAGTAGATGATAGTGCTCTAGGGTTTGCATTTTTTAAAGGTGAAAGTGTTTTTTGTATCAGTTAAAGTCTCTAGTGCTGGCCAGAAGAGCACTGGAAGGCATCCAGCCAGCATAGCTGGAAAGCCTGAAGGACCTTGTAAGAGAACTAGCCCTCTTCTCTGTGTTTTCTGTGGGTTGCAATAGGCTTAAGGAGGAAAAGCATAGAGCTGGGATTTAAGAGAATATGACCTCTGATACAGCTGGGGAGAGGAGCAAATGGGAGCAATGGGAGAAGGAACCAGAAGTGTTGGAGGCACGGGTGAAATGTATGGGCTTTGTAGAGAGGGGGAGGAGAGGAGGGTGCCAATCCACATGAGAGAGTCAGTAACAGTCATGTTTGGAGTGGAAGAGAGGGAAGTTTGTGGCTGGAAAAAGATGACTGGATTGGGGAAAGGGAAGAGCAAAGAAATGGGGTCAATTTGAAAAGGAAAAAAGGCAATGAAAAAGTTTTCAATAGCACTAACAAATTATCAGGGTCAGAAGCCGTCCACCCAATACTGCTAAGAGAACTTGAAGACGAAAGAGCTGAATTACTAACAGTATTGTGCAACATCTTACTTAAAATTTACTTAGTACTTGTATCTGAGAAGGTAGGAAATTAGTTTAATTTTTAGAAAGTATTCTAGGAAATTATAGGCCTGTAATCCTTATCTCACTATTGGGCAAATTCACAGAATGTAAATGGTCAGTTACCTCAATGGAGTGAGGCTTGTAAGACTGTCCCATACAAGCACTGAGACGGCAGTTTTCTGATGATTCATGGGGCAAGGCTGGACTGTGAGGGGCCTTATGAGACAGATTGGGTTGTAAAATGAAAATGAAAAGCAGTGTAGGTAAATGTAAAATGGTGTGTCTGAAGGAAAACAGTCCCAGTTTCACATTTGAAATGATGGGCCCTGAGCTGATCACTGCTCTTCAGGAGCAAGACCCAGACAGATGCTGTGATGGATAGTTCCATGGAAACATCAGCACAGTGCTCAGTAGTAATAAAAACCCCAAATCAAGTATTAGAAATTCCTAGGAAAGAAACAGAATAAAAGCAGAAAACATTGTTATGGCACTGTATAATCCATGGATCACCTGCACTTCGAACAGTGTACAGCACTGGGCCACTCCACTCAAGAAGGGGTTATATCAGATCTGATAAACAACAGGTCTGGGACAGCTTCAGTGTTATGGAAAACTATGTTGAAGGGACCCTGCAGTGTGGAGAAAAGATGACTTAGGGGGGATGTGGTGGGTATAAAGGTCACACATGGCTCAGAGAAGACAAATGGCACTAAAGGGAGCCAGGCTTAAAACCAACCAGCTGTAGTTCCCTGTGCGGTTGGTTGAGAGCTCCCTGCGAAAGGACACTGTGGATGCAGGAAGTCTGCATGGGTTCAGGTGTGGAATGGGCAAGTATTTCAAGGAGAAATCCACTTGGGGTTACTAGTTAGGCAGACCTCATGAAAATAATTGGAGTTTGAGAAAGTATTAGGATGAAAGTATAATTTACTTGCCTTATTCTTACTGTACCCTACATAGCCACTGCTGGAGGCAGAATACTCAGCTGCCTGGACTATTGGTCTCAAGCAGCACGGCTGTTCTTACATAGTTAACTGTTTTCATAGAACAAAGAAAGGAGGGGGAAAATGAGAGAGTAGAACAGCTAGTAAGAGAAAGAAAAAATGAATATTGAAAAAAGGGGAAGAGAGGTGCAAAGAAAGATGAAATATAGCGGAAGACAGGAGATTGGTATGCTATTTTCTTTGACAAAGAAAAGATGTGTAGGTGTTCTGCAAAGCTGCCATCTTCCCTGCATCCTGATCCCGTGTCCTGCACCACAGGGTTTGTGTGGAGCCCAGTCTCCTCAGGTGTCAGACACGCAAGAATTAACATTTCATCCATGGCATGCCTGCCCAACCTTGATTCTGCAAGCCCTTGCTCACATGAGGAATGCCTTGAAGGGCTGGATTTTTCCATCTTACTGGAATAACATATTTGTAATGTAACTGCAGATAGCTGCAGCAGATGTGGTCGGGCTCTGCAACAGCTAAGGTCCTGGCCCATCCCAGTGTTGTCATAGTCATGGCAGAGTTCCTGACTGAGCCTATTTATTCTTACACCGGCATTATAAGACGACTTCTTTTTCTTTCATTTCAGAGCAACCACTACTATGTGAAGCCTCGGGTAACAGACCATCAGTTTGGCATAAGACATTATGCTGGGGAGGTAGGTGTTCATGGTGTATCTGTGAGATGCTTGGTGTATCTTGGGCTTGAGGTCCTGGATTTTAGATTGCAAAAATCAAGAATATCTCTGAGACCTGTGTGTTTCCGCACAGTTAGTGCCCCATACCAGAGCACAGGGAGTGTGATGGGCTTACAATAGCATGTCATTCTCCAGTACTATATTCTCCAGCTTGGACGTTTATTTCAGTTTCTCAGGTAACTTTTGGTTTGGGGGATAAACTCCTCTTTACTTCTGTTATTCATGTTGTCTTTTCTTGGACATTCACAAACAAACAAAACCTGAAGTAAAAGTCGCAAGGAAAATTTTACTTTTGGGGAGGAGGAGAAAAGGTTAAATACCTATTGCAAAAAGGAAAAGGTCTCCAAGCCTTCAAGGTTAAATGCTGCTCTTTGTTGTGGAGAGATATGGAGCAGATGGAGGTGTGTCAAGGGAGGGCACCTGCACACTAAAGAAGGGCTAACCTCCTCCTAGAATCATATCTGCTGAGCACCAGTGGTTGGGAGATCAGGGCACTGGGTGGCATAGTTAGTATTTCCTGAAGCAAATGGAGTACCTCACACCTTGCAGAGGATTTCCCCCCACACACACCCCAGGCAAATCTCTGCAGCTGTTTCACTTCACTCCTGTTTTTGAGGGTTTTTTGTGGTGTTTCTTTTTAATTGATGGCTAAAAGCCACTTTCTTGCCAGTAACTGCAGAGCTCTGGAGCTCTTTGACCCCAAAAATTCAGATCTTGGCACATGCCTGCAGCGTTACTGTGTAGCTCTGCTGGAGGTCTTGTATATTGGCATGTTAATGTAGAAATGCTTAATGGTTTGTATGGCATTGTTCTAGTGGCTCTGTCTGCGTTGCAGGTGCTATATGATGTGAGAGGCTTTCTGGAGAAGAACAGAGATACCTTTCGAGATGACATTTTAAACATGCTGAAAGACAGCAGGTATGCCCCCCTTATGCTTGTGAGGAGGCCACATCTGTTGGGCTGGACTAAGCCACATTCATGTAATAACCAGACCAAGGAAAGCAGTTGCTTTTGTCTGAGCATCAGGCATCATTCTTTATCATTCTTCTCTTTGTGCTTAAGTGTCCTGGCAAAAGAAAGGAGAGCTGGAGAAGTCAGATGAGGCACAGATTTAATCAGTGCTCCTGTTGTCCCAGTTTTGAAAAGACCTATAAAAGCGTGACAGAAATCCCTCCAGGCAATGCTAGTTTTCTCCCTCCTCTCTTCTCCCTTTCCTCTTCTTCCTCTTACCTCCCTGTCCTAACAATGGCAAATTTGCCCCTGAATGAGTCAAGGCTCCTTGCCATGCTGTCAAATGCCAGCCTTTGTACAGAGGCTGCTTGTTTTCCAGCCTGCTTGTTAGTGGAGAGCTCCCATCCTTATCCTGAGCCAGACTGAGCCCTTGCTGTGGGACCGGGCATGGCCCCTAATATATCCCAGTGCTGCAACATGACCCTAGAGAAATGAGCTGTCTTTGACCTTGAGCAAGGTCTGAAAGACAGAGGTGGGGCCTAGTAGAAGGAGAGAAGCATTTAATAACATGGCGGACCCTAGAAGTTTTTGAGTAGCAACTCTACCAGATGCCTCTTACCACAGTCTATGTATTGCCTTTGGGCTCCAGCCTGATGAGACTGTTTCAGAATTGCATCTTCTCTCAACCCTGCTGCAGAGTTTGCACTGTGAGCAGCCTTGAAACAACCTGAGGGAGCTGAGAGTATGAGCTGCTCATAGCTGCCTTACTTGGACACTGGCATCTGGGGAACATTTTACACGGGGCTTGAAGCCAAAATTGTGGTCATCATTGTCCGGCATAATAGAAGGACTCAAGGTTTTTCAACAAGCCAGAAAGGGAAATTCTGCTAGGAGCAGTCATAAAATAAACTGGCACAAGCAGTGCTGGAGAACTTTGTGCAACTTCCTAAGAACCAGGACCACTGTCTAAGGAGTGGCAAAATGGTGGAAGATTTACCAGAGCTGACCTACACTGAGGGTAGCTCTAGAAGTCCTCTGGCCACAGAAGAGCTGTGGTTGCATGAGCGTGTCATGGGTGCTAGCCATGAGAGCTAGGTTGGGAGGGGCATGACAGCACACAGTCTAGCTGGAGTACCTTCAAGGTAGTTTTGCCTGAGGGGAGGTGTCCTAGCCAGAATGGAGATCTTCCCTTGTGTAATATCCTGCTTGACAGTGTGAGATGGGGTTTCTGGCTTTGCAGCCGAGTGTGGCATACAGGGCAGCCCACGGGGTCTGGGCAGCCGCATTGAAAGTATTAATTTCCTCACTGAAATGCCCAGCTGAACTGCCTCCTGCAGACACTCTGTGGCAAGGGACAGGGCAGTAGCTGAGAATGAGAGCCATCTTCTTTAAGTCTTTTCTTCTCCCTTAGGCTGGACTTCATCTATGACCTTTTCGAAAGAGTCTGCAGTCGTTGCGGTGAAGAGACACTGAAGATGGGCACCCAGAGGCGCAGACCGACTGTCAGTTCCCAGTTCAGGGTAGGATGTTTTCCAAGAGAGCAGCAGGCTTCTGGGGAGGAGCAGATGGGTAAAGCAAGGCCTGCAGCCAAGAGGAGTCATTCATCCTTGTTTTGTGTCCAGCACTGTGCAGGAATGTTGTAGCGCTAAAAAAAGACAGTGCCACTGCCCCAAGGATTTCTGTCTGGTGTAAAATGTGAGATGCTAAGACTGAGCAGGGTGGCAGAGCAAAATAATACTTTGCTAAGTATATGAAGTTCTTGAGGTTTTTTGATCTTTCACGTTGGTTTGGTGTTTCAGCTAAGTGTATGTGTCCTTCTAGGCCACATCTTTTACAGGTATAGTGGCAATTCCAATAAAACCTTATTGGGGTGACCTTGCAGGTATGAATCTCACACCCCTAGATTGTCTGCAAACCTTCTGTTAGTTTCACAGTTTTAGTTTCCTATATTTAAAGTTTGAGAGACTTGCAAAAATAACTCACATCAACTATACAGCTCTGAGAACAAGGATGGCCATATAAACAATGTTAGAGTAAACTAACTGTGTGGGTATGTTTCAGACAGGAAGGGATCTCCTCGGTTATTAAAGTTTTGGTAGTCAGAGTCAAAGGACATTAGGAATGGGAGGGCTGCATGAAGACCCTACTGCATCAAATGTAGCCACTTCCCTCCTATAGTGACTGATCCTTTGGGTTTTGTCTTGCTGCTTTTTAGGATTCTCTCCATTCCCTGATGGCCACGCTTAGTACTTCCAACCCGTTCTTCATCCGCTGCATCAAACCAAATACAGAAAAGGCAAGTCTGTCTTCCAGCAAGATGTATGCATGCGACACAGGCCTTCATGAGCACTCATTTGCACAAATGCCTGACAGGTGCCTCTGTCAGGGTCCAAACTGAGCATAAGAGCAGTTCCCCCTCACCTTCCCTTTTTCCTTCTGGTTGTTTTATAGCTGAGGAAAAATACACCCTCCTCCTGGTAATCAGATGAAAAGACTGCATGCTGAGTGTGATGTGATATAGAATCATAGAATCATTAAGGTTGGAAGAGACCTCCAAGATCATCGAGTCCAACCGTCAACCCAACAACACCATGCCCACTAAACCATGTCCCTAAGCGCCTCATCTACCCGTCTTTTAAATACTTCCAGGGATGGTGACTCAACCACTTCCCTGGGCAGCCTGTTCCAATGTTTAACCACTCTTTCAGTAAAGAAATTTTTCCTTACATCCAATCTAAACCTCCCCTGGCGCAACTTGAGGCCATTTCCTCTCGTCCTTTCGCCAGTTACTTGGGAGAAGAGACCGACACCCACCTCGCTACAACCTCCTTTCAGGTAGTTGTAGAGAGCAATGAGGTCTCCCCTCAGCCTCCTTTTCTCCAGGCTAAACAACCCCAGCTCCCTCAGCCGCTCCTCATAAGACTTGTTCTTCAGACCCCTCCAGACCCAGATATAGCCATTCCAACCTCCTTCTGTGCTTATGAAGCCTGGAAGATGAACCAGGCTTGTGCAGAGCCCAGAGCTGTGGTAGAAGAAGCAATTGCTCCCGTTTGTGGTGCCTCTAGACAATTTGTTCTGGAATGCAGGGCTTGTGCGGTAGGAAGCGTCTCCTGCAGGTCCCTGGCTCTCAGGCAGGGGAGGTGGACGCTTCATGAGCAAGTCACAGTGCTTAGAGACAGGCTGGCTCTCGCTTGTATTGTGAACTGTGACGGGAGGATATGCTGCTAACTGCATTGTGTGGGGAGCTCTGAACTGATCATTTTTTTGTGTGTGTTTTGAAACCGTGTATGATATGGCAGAGGAAAGCCTGATGGGGATTTTGTGCCAGAAAGGAATTCTGCAGTTTGTCTCCAGTTTGACTGGAGAGAGACTGCAAAGAGAACTGAGTCATAGTTCTGCATTTTGTATGTGTTAATGCATTATATCATTGCTTTACTGCCATGATCCGACTATGACAGCAGTCTGCAGACTGTTTTTTTCCAGGATCTGCCCAACTCCCTTTCGTCCCTTTTTCTGCACCATGCAGTGTTGTGAGGTTGCTCTCCCCTTGACCCAAACTTCCCCCTTTTCACCTGGCATGCCCAAATATGCAGGGTTGACTTTCTACAGAGAAACGGATATACAGCCCGTGACTGTCTGTGCTCAGAGAAACAGTCACTGTTCAAGTCAGCAAAGAAGTAATACCAAGATCAACACTTATTCTGTCTCTCTTCTTATTTGTTTTTGAATCTGGATCATTATGTAGGCACCGAACCTCTTCAGTCCAGATGTGGTGCTAAATCAGCTCCGGTACTCAGGGATGCTGGAGACAGTGAAAGTTCGGAGAGCAGGTTTCCCTATACGGCGTCTTTTCCAGGACTTTCTCAGCAGGTAATTGCTATCATTGTACCACATGCTGTAACAGCCCCAAGGTATACGATTCTATATGTTTGTTCCTTCTATAACTGCTGTTACTGATATGGATAATTTGTGGGATGGTTTTCTAACCATGCCCTTATTGCCCATATCATAGACTCATTTGGAAGTCCTTTTGGAGACTCGCCTTTAGGGTAAAAGTCAGAATGGAAAAATAGCCAGACGGTCCATTTTTTAAAATTTTTTTTGTAGCTTTGCCATAGATTTGCTTGTGTGATGCTGTGAAACCCAGCTGGTCATAATACGTAAAAAGAAAATATCATACTTAAAACCTTTAATCTGGCAGGCTGAAGCAAATTTTAATGGACAGTATAGTTGATGATTAATATTGGAA